CTAAGTCAGACTAGGATTATCTGATATAGTAGTAAGTTAAGTAATATTATACTTATCAGCTAAATATTCCAGTTCTTAGAGATTCTTAGTACTTAGAGAATTTTTCTTATTTAACTACTTTAATATATTTAAGTTATAATCTAATATCTGACTACTATAATTTTTTAAGAACTGTTAATACTTTTATAAGTAAATAATTTTTATTATTATCTGATTTATCTTTTCAGAGTATTATATAAACTGCTTTTAAACTGTCTTAAAATTAGTTATAATCTTTTATTTATTTTATTTAAGCTTATCCTATTCTTAATTATTATAAAACTGTTTCTTATACTTGTAACTATATAAAGTACAGACTGAATATTTTTTATTTTAAGTAATTAAACTTATAATATAAATCTTATCTTAAATAAAATAAAAATTATATAAAATATTAACAGGATAACCAAAGCTTTTAATTCTATTAGTTAAATATTTATTATTAGTATACTTATTATATTTCAGCATATTAACCCATCCTGAGAGAAGAAAAGAAACTGAAAGAATTTAAATAAAATTCTTTCAGTTAAAAATAAGAAATCTTAAAAAAGAGAAAGTAATATTACAGATCTCTACTAGTTAAGCTACTAGTAAGACAGACTTATTAGGCAGAAAATACTAATAAGAAAATACTTAAGTAATTAGAAACTTTTATTAAAAAGAATTCTAAATTACTTTTATAATACCCAGAATAGCTACATATCATGTAATTATAGGTATATGGGATAATACACGGACAGGTATATAATATATAGTATATAATATATAAAAAAGTATACTACTTAGTATACAGAGAATAAAATATATAAGAATACTTATTTATATACTTAATTAATTCTGTTCTTTATGCTTAATCTATATTATCTTTAAATAATCTATTTCCAGAAGCTTAATAATATAACACTTATCTATATTTATTTACAGATAATTATATAGTATTATCTAGTCTTATTTCTCTTTTTTTATTCAAGACTAGTTGCCTTAAATAAACTATTAATCTGATATTATCTTGATCCAGTTTAATAGTATATGTACTAGTGAAGCTAAGCTAACAGGAACAGGGAAGTGATCCTAGGGTTTGACATATTTATTATTATAAATTATAAAATAATAAAGGGAAATGTAAGTAAAATAATAATTAATCTAATAATTATAGATTATATAAATACTTCTAAAGCCATTCTAATTAATTAATTAAAAAAAATATATTGAATTACAAGAAGAACCCCACTGGAAAAAATAATAATTAATTATAATATTTTATATATAATAGTATCCAATATCTTGCAAACTAATATTTTATTAAAAACAGAAAAATTTAATCTGCTAGAATCTATTAATATTTATTAGATTCTGAGGAAAAAGTAGAGAAGTTAAAATAAATCTTATAATTTTAACTTTCTTATTTAAAATAAAGATTACTTATTATTTTCATATTCTTATTTATATTTAAAACAGCCTTGAAATCTTTGTAAATCTAGATAATTATACAGAAATAAATATTATTAATCATTAATTTACTAAGATTTATAATCTTTAATATATCCTAATTACTGTACCTAGAATCAAAATTATTAATTAGATCTTTACTTTTATCTATAATATATAAAAAGTTTTTATTACTACTACTGATTTATAAGGAAGTACCTATATCTTTAAATAATATTATATAGAAATTAATTAAGATTCTTGCCTGTATAGTAATCTGATTCTATTATTAATAATTATATTTTAAGATCTTTATATTAATTTATCAGCATAGAATTAATAATAATAATTTAGTATATTATTTATTTATTTTATTATCTAATTTAATAAAGCAATCTAAAACTTAGTAAGAATATATATTATTATTAAGTTTTCTGAAAATATTTAGCTCCTGGAGGAAAAGTCTCTTAATTTTTTTTTAAATTAAAAAAGAACCTCCTGATTTCGTGCCAGAGAAAACAGTTCTATGATGACATCATATCGATTTCAGCCTTTCACTCCAAGAAGAAACCTTGCAATATGATGCAGCATCCATGTGAGCCTATTGATAAAGTAACCTCCCTATCGGGAGCAACGCTACCGGGAAGACATATTATAGTGGTTATCAGACTCACGAGATTATTAGTAATGGTTTTATATTCTTCTGATATCTATGAGATCCTGATTTCCTTGTATAGAACTACTGAATTTTCAATGATTAATCTATTTTACAAATATAGATTATCTTTATATTATAACTAATAAATCTATAGTATTTCATAGCTGATTTCTTATAGCTAGTTAACAGGCTTTCTATCCTAATAAATAAATTCCATTATATTCGCATCTTTTTTCTTTTGATTATCTAAGGAAGACACTGTTGTCAGTCTTGCATGAAGGAGACTCTCCATTGCGTAATATTGGGCTACGATATGATAAGGAATATATAGATTGGGCTGCACCCGGTAGACGAGATGTTGGGGTTGCTCCCATTAAAGCAAACTTTCAAAGGGTAAGTGAACCTAAGAAGTTCTCTGATTAAATCAATTACGTATACAGTGGCTATCAAAATATTGTAGACTTGGACTGACTAGAACCAGAACATAGACTCGCCTATTTCAATGCTCATCACGGCGTGGACGGTGAAAGGACTATAATTTAGCACCTTTATTATTGCGCAGGAAGGCCAATGACTCTGCCATCACTTTCTCCCACTCCTTGGTGAACCGAGACCTCTCTGCCGGGGACAAATCTTCCCACCCTACGGCAATGCGATGTTCATCAGCCGTCCATCTCTCCAATTCTGTATGAATCCATTCACCTAAGATGCTGGCCGTCAAATCCACTTTCTCCAGAGGCAGAGCATGGCCAGCACCCTCAACCCACAAATGTTGGACGCGACCATACCGCACACCTCCACTTCCCCCAATACTACCCCCAGTTCTTTCCGCCATGGTAGTATGAAGTCCACACTTATATAACGGGCTCGATGCCCCACTCAGAAATAGTGCGGAAGGACGAAGGTGCGGCAGCAATTTTCCAGCCACAATGGGTTCAGGTCGGTATGCCTGTTGGCCAGGTGGCAAGCCGGCCATCACGTCCGGGAAGAACAGTGGATCATGAGGTGGCTCTGCAAGACGCTCGCTGTTGTTTTCGTTTTGTAATCCCAGTTCTTTATGCCGGTATGGGTTCGCACGGGCATAGGTCATTGCCTCCTGGAACTTGGTTGTTGTCAAAGTAACTGGCGTCTCGGAACTATGTGCGCCGTCCTTGGGATAGAGGGCTGTAGGAAGTTCCCGATAGCCCCACTGGAACCAGCGTTCGAGGACCCGCGAATTCCACGAACGCAGATATTGCCGAGCTTTCTCTTCCGCTGCGGCCCGTGAGGGCCAAATATCTCGCTTGTGCTTGGTGAGGTGAACAAGAAGCGGAGCGTCTGCGTCAGTGTTTCTTTCGATAATGTAAGGCTCGATGAGCATAAGGGATTGGAGTATCCGGGGATGCATCAGAGAAAGAAAAACGCTGTTGGTGCTCGCATTAGAATCCATCATACTTCGGGATGGTTGTTACACTAACAGTTGTGTTGCACCCAAACTGTGGCCGACTCCCATAATGGGCCGGGTCATCTTGTGACGGAAATGATTCATCATGAGAAGAAGATCCCGGCTATGATCAAACGCCGACGCTGCTTCGATTTAGCCAGCCACCAACGCCATGGAAATAATCAGATACAATCACTCACGGTCATTACCCAAACCGACTTCGTTAATGACACCGCTGACACCTTGATTTGTGGCATCAGCAATCCAAATTGAGCCGATGTTGAATCCTTCCTTTTTGCTCCTGGCATAAAGGTCTTCCCACAGGGGTTCATAGAGTTCCTGTGGATGTCTTAGTAGTTGTTGTGCGTTAAACGAGCCCGGAAATGTACCTTAGCAAAACCAGTACCGTGCGCAGCAACGATTGTAAGGTCGCCATTCTTGGGATGAGGGTTGTCTATGGGGGTATATTGTTTAATGCAGAGTTTTAGCGGAGTATCTTGGTTAGCTGTGGCTCGAGGATATTCTCTCATGAATTGCGCGTCCATAACATGCTCTGTGATAATATAAGGGTACGTCATCTTGCTAAAACAAGGCAGGTAATGTCGCTTTTGCTATGCCAGCGTCAGATTGTGAACTATGCCGTATAACTACGATTTGTACGGTATCAAGGTGGCTGGATGAACCACCTTTATGCGAGAATAACCTCTCCGGATTCCCAAGCTCGGATGATAAGTTGGATAGCTGATCCTGAAAAGTTAGATTTTATTACTTCCCCACTTCAATTCACGGGCAAAATGTCGTGGACTCCTGACTCGCTGCGGGCATCTTGTATCGCCGGACAAGATCGAGTTAGGATCGGATCCACACGGGCTGTGACGAACCATTGGGACCAATACTTACCGAAGATATGGTACGCGGGAATATTCATATCAACATATCAGTCCAGCGTTCAATGTAGTTCTGGTCTCCGGCATTTAACACAGCCATGGCACGATGACGGTGTTATCGAATGCTGGGATATTCCCAAACATCGTTGAACCCTGCCAGACCTATCTCTCTGACTTTCCCACTGCAAAATATCCCCTGCCAGCCATTCCGCCGACTCTTCCCGTTGGTCTTTGGCGCACTCCACACAACTCCACACAGCTCCACACCCAATCCTCAGCTAAAGCTCCACAGCTCAGCTACGGAGTACACCGAGTGATCTTCTCGATTGCTTTCGCGATACGGCAAATTAGTAGGATGTGATGTATCCATCAATCCTCCATCGCGCAATCAGCTCTTCGGACTAAGCGTGGGCAGGGGGTGCCTATACCAGGCTTTAGAGTAGTAGCTCATGACTTGTGTAAGTTTGAACCACTGAACTACTATTTTGTTTACACCACGCAAAATTTGCAGCTCCGCCAATGTATTCATAGGGTGGGCTACCTGAGTCATTGTTTAATCATATCAATGAGCCTTCGCCCTTCGCATGATGGCTTACGGTTCTTCAATCGGGCCCCTGTCGTGAGCTCGTCCTTCCATTGCGAATTCATTTACCTTGCGCCTGAGAAAATTGTTTCTTCTACCCAAAAATTATGGGGTTCCATCTTATATCACTGGGCGTGATAGTGCTCTTTTGCTATGTAGGTCACAACAACCTGCCTGCCTACATCTGCTGACAAAGCAGGCGTTCTCATTTGTCACATATCGATTCTACTTTCATCCGCTGGCCAGGTTTCCCGGGCCTTGGCTGGGGGCTTTCACCGATTGGTACGCAGCATTCTATGCATGGCGAGGTGACCTACACACAAAGGACTATGAATGGCATGAGAAATATGGTAAGTAATGTGAGTCTCTGCACTGTGGTACCCAGAGTAACGTGGTTGCAATTTGAATTAGGCGAAATCGTTCGCTTCGGGCCTAATTCTCTTTCCTTCAATACCTCAAAGGCTGTGAGCGATATCTACGCTGTCAGAGCCAACGTTCGGAAATCGAATGGCTACGCATCAATGAGCCCGAGTAGATATACCCCAAATACTCTCACCGCGATTTCTAAGAACATGCACACCTTCAAGCGTCGCATATTGACGCAGGCATTTTCGGACCAGAATATTAAGGAGATGGAGGGTCGTATCCAGCAGAATATATCCAGCTTTCTCGACATCCTTGCTACGAATACCGGATCTGAATCCGAGTGGAGTTCTCCTAAGGATATATCGCAGATATGCGACTGGCTAGCCTTCGACGTAATCACTGATTTAAGCTACGGCAACGATCTTGACATGTTGAACTCACCTCAAATGCGTTGGTTCCCATCTGTGGTTCGGAAAATATCCCAGCGAAGTCTAATAGTATGCCCCTTCAGTGCTTCCCAATTCAAAGTATCATGTCTCTAACAGTTGCTGCATGGGCTTTTTCAACCTTCTTTCATAAGAATGAGGCTTGACTTGGTTCTCCTATCCCAAAAGTACAGGGAAATACTTGCTGCGGCAAGGTGGACACGCTCTCAGGCAGCTGCACGAATGGAGATTGGAAACAATAATGAGCAGAAAGACATATTCAATGCAATGATGAATGCAAGAGATAAAAAGACTGGACTGCAATTTACTCGAAAAGATTTAGGCCTTGAGTCCATGCTTTTGCTTGTTGCAGGTATGTTGAATAACCTTCTGCGGACAATCTGCGCCACCTCGGAACCTACAGCTTTCAGCGTCCACTTATTCAATGATGCTGAGATGCCCTAGGTTCTGATACAACATCTACTGCTCTTTCTGCCACTTTGAACTACATCCTTCACGATTCCAATATGCTGGCGCACTTGAAAAGTGTCATCCGGATGACGTTCCCGACAGAATCATCAATAACGACATCTTCTGTTCTTTCGTCTCCGGATTGCGCTGTCCTGCGCGCCTGTATCAATGAAGCAATGCGACTCACTCCACCTGCACCCAATCTCCTTCCTCGAACAGTTCTCTCCGGTGGCATGGAAGTCGATGGCATATATATACTGGCGGGAACAACTGTCGGTGTATCCGCGTATACCATACATCGCAATAAAACATATTTTTACGATCCTGATAGCTTTGAGCCAGAAAGGTGGCTTGATGACAATGTCGTCAACCAGCAGAATATGCAAACGGCATTTGTTCCATTTAGCGTGGGACCGAGAAAGTGTGTGGCATGGAGACTAGCCTGGGCAGAATTGAATTTAACAATAGCAAGAGTGTTGTGGAGGTATGACCTGCGCCTTGCAAAGAACGCATGCGGTTGCAATGCAGGTACCAGGTGTGAGTACAACTTCAAGGCTGGGGTTACGACGGCTGTTAATGGGCCGGTGATTGAGTTCAGGCCTAGGATAGCATGAGTGTCACCTGTCTATTTACCCAAACAGATGTTACCTAGCCTGATTTACGTTCCTATAGAAATGAAGTGATGATGTCATGTGATGGAATGAACCAGTCTACGGTGGTTAGAATCGCCACTGCAGCACAATGGAAGGCAGACATGCCATCATATGCATGCAAAATTATTCTTTATCAGGACCGAAGCTAGTGATGTGCATTATTATATTACGCAAAGTTGAATTTCTTACACAGCCGCCTTTAAAACCCCAACATCGCGTTCATGTTCTGCCCTAGCTTCTTGGACTTTTCATCTTTACCATTGAGCTTGATGGGACTAAGGCCCATTGCCACTTTACCGGCTTCAGATTGAATATCAGCAATTGTTGCTCTATCAGAGAACTGAGACTCTCCCGACCCACCCGGGAAGTCCGGCGGAGGGACGCCCTTCAAGAAGGCCTCGCGCTGCTGCTTGACGTATTGCTATGTGAGGAGTCAATGTCAAAAACACATACGCCATTAAGTGGACAATCGTCTTACCATGTTGTTAGGGGTTAATGGAACCGAAGGAATGTAGAAAACACAAGCGTCAATGTTGCCTGTGTTTTCCATTTCCGTGCCGTGGATGGTATCAGCACTCCAGAACACTGTTTTACATCCGGGTTAGCTTCGTCCAGTTCATTTTGATCGTTGTCAGTCTTACCAGTATCACCCGGCTCAACTGTGGGATATGGGATCATAGTTTCGGCGAGTCTCAAGTGAGGATGGAGGGTAGGGGTGTGTTCTTGAGCAGTTCCAGGATTGGCCCCATGCAGGAAAATATCTCCCTCGTCGTCGTCTAGAGAAAACTTCCATCCATCCAGGGAGTCCTTTCGAGTAGGCTTAAAGAAGGGTCGAAGCATCCAGTAAGCAGTAGTAGGTTGCAAAATTGGGTGAACGACCAAAGTGCCTAGTAAAACCACGGATTAGTATGGAGCGAGTAATTGGACCAATATTGGCTAACCTTGCTGGGGTCCATGGCGAGACAGCCCGAGCCAGCTTTGGAAGGTGCGGAAGACTGAACAGCCGCCTGGCGCATCATACATGTTCATGTTGGCATCAAGGCGGCCAGTCAGATCCCAAGGGTCGTACTCCTGCCACTGCGGTAGTTTTAGTTGTGAATGCTGCTAGAGTAACAAATCTGGTTTTCTCCTACCTTGCCTTGGAAGATTTTGCGGTAGGTATGATTATAAGCGCGGTCCTCCCACCTCTCCACACCTCCACCGTCGACGTGAGGTGGAAGCCCGAAAAGCTTGTCGCCAGGGGGGCGAATTTGAATTCGGTCACAGTAACTGAGTGGAACCGATATATCAACTAGATCAGATTAGCTCAGTTCGATATTCTCCATCCCGCTGCAGTGTTGGATTACTTTTTTGGTTGGCATCTGCAGTATATAACTGATTCATCCACGCTTGTGTAGCAAGCATATTAGGATGTGACCTCGCTTTCACTTGGGAGGGACTCCAATATGATTCATAGATCACCTTGTTCAAAGTCAGCTTTGGATTGATCGGCATTGATCAATAACAGTCACCTTCTTGTCTGAGGTAGATGGGAATCCTTTGAAGGGTCGGGAAGTCAGATACTGGCGAACATCCGAAAGAAGCTTTTCAGTGACATCTTTGTCCACAACGCCACGAATAACAGCAACACCAGTTCGTCGAATGGCAGCAATGTTCGCCGGAGATACATTGCCAGCTTGTATGTCGGAAAAGTTCAGTTGAGGAATAATCTACTCCAGTGAGCATGCAACTAACGGTAACCGTGAAATCTGGAGTGAACACACACTCTCGCGCTTAGTTGCGACTTCTTCAGTCCGTACTTTGAGAACCTCAACAAGCTCATCCCATGACTTCTGAATTTGGTCCTCAAACCCGGTAGTCAAGTTACGCTTTAGATCTCGAAATCGTTCGGGCAGAGGCACACTTTTTCTGCCAGAGAAAGATGTGAACACGGAAGAGATATCACCCTCTCTCTTATCTTTGCGAGTAATTGGCGATGTGTCAGTTGCCACGAGACGCTTGGCTGTTCCTGCACATTTCCCTGCGCGGAACGTGGGGCAATTCAGACATTTCGGAGACACCGTTTTGATCATGATGGCACACGGAGTCTGCGGTGTTATGTGAGAGTGACTGACAATTTGAAAGATTGAACTTGAAGGATAATTAGACAACATGTAATTGCCTTGCAGATTTATACTTGTATCCAGGCTTTGGAGCTCTTTCCCCGGGCCCGGTCAGGGCCAATGCGCGTTTCCCAATTTGGCAATATCCCGACAGTGGGGAAAGGCGGCTCTCCCCAATCCGTCTTGCCGCCGCCCATTCAGTAATAGCGTCCGACGGGCCCCAAGCTTTGTTATTGCGGAGATGTGAATGCGGAGATGCGGAGGAAAGACGGCTCAGTAACTTTAGAATGGTCCTCAGTGGCAAGGCTTGGTTGGCGACGGAGGTGAATTTTTAGCAGGGCTCGCCTAAGTTGCCTTCCTCCTGTTTCCTTGTTTCCAGCAACTCCCCGTTAAACAAAGTCGTCTTCGCTCGCTCGATCATGACTGCGAATTATCTTCTAATCAAAACCAGACCCAAAATTACTCGGCCGTGTGTTCGAGATTATAGCTTGTGGTAGATGCATCATAATGAATCGAATGCAATGTTAAAGGGTGGCTTTGGCTCGCTGTGCTTAGCCATCGGAAGTGGTGTTATGAGATACAGGATCCAGTTGCTCGTTTCGAATGATCTCGCCAAACCTTGGGCTGGTGGACCGATCTTACTTCTTGGGGCTAGAAGCCATGTTCCGCATGAGTTCACGAAATCGAGAAAAAGCCGGACTGTTCCCGTCGTGTTGACCCTCCCCGCTCGTACAGTGACTTGAAAGGGCTATTGGCGACCTTACGCAAAGAGGCTTCCGGCCGGTCTCATTGTTCCAGCCGTCGAATACGAGACATTCAAAGACTATATTTTAGATGGTAATTGTAGCACACTGGCTCATGAACAATCCCTTGCCGCTGGCAAACTCGCTGGTTAGGTGAGAACTGTCTACGGTGTACTATTTTGAGGGCCCAGTGGGGATACCGGGGGATTGAATGTAAACTTGGGGCAGATTCGAGAATATTGGTGTTGAAAGGGCAAATCTAAACATAACCTGCAATGCATTGTTCTAGAGGAATCGAGGTTGCTACCATCGATAACTGTATTATTTCATACTGTTTATTATGACAGTCGTAGTTGTGGAGGGTGTAAAGTTCTTCTCGACTCAGGCATTAGTCCACTTCTCTGGACCTTTGACGAAAGTTTCGCGCTGGCAAGTTGGTGCATATATTCATTTTTTACGCACCAGATCTACTCCATTCAACAATGCAAACAGGCGCTCAATCGCACCCTTCTCCATTCCATATCGAATTTCTCATACTGACTGCTTCTGCTGGATCTCACACGTCCAGAATACTGATCAGCTCATCATCTGCCATCCAGCTCTAATACAACAAATGACAAATGCAGGGGAAATTAGACGAGGTAGAGTTTTAGCTATACTTGAAGAGGAAATGTGATATCGATGTCCGGATTCCGTGTCAAAATTTTCGAGTTTAATATCGTAGTGGGTTGCTCGGTGAGCGCTTGAGAAAGAGATCATCCGAGTCCTGCTGTCGGGTAGATGTTTTCGGTCAGCCGGTGAACTAAAGGCATGCTAGTTCATCCTATCTCTGGGAATGAGCGAACAAGATATGAGTGGTGACTCATGTCTAACAGTGACACTTGGCAAACTACTAGTCAGTATAAAAGGATGGACTTTACCGAAGTACAATATTACATGATCTACCTGCTTCTAGTATACTTTGCACTAATCAACGAGAAGGTTTCCTGCCTGCCGCCTTACTGAGGGCCCCCTCTATAACCTGCGTTCCATGTTATGCCTGGCATTTCACTGATCCGATATTCATGCCACTTCCAAAGAGCTCCGATTAGAAAATGAGGAGCACGTAACACATTGAACGCTTTTGAAAACATACGAGTAAGAGAACGCATTGAGAAGAAACATTCCAGTTAGATGCTGACACTGAAGTATGTGTAAGAAAAATCGTTGAAATCCTCCATGAGGAAAGTTCAAAACCCAAGGATTTGGTTGGCTCGCTCCAGAATTGACTTTTGACCAAGCTCGATGCCTGTCTCCTGTGTATCGAATGCAGCTAGCCCAAGGGAACGCAACGCTTTCAAGGACTGAGAGTGGCGAAGGCTGTTCTCGGTCGTGCGTCCAACAAAGCTGCTCTCGCCGTCACCGCCAGGGAAATCAGGAGGAGGAGTACCGGCGATGAATTCCTCGCGTTGCCGCCGAACGTAGGCTGCGTTTTCCTCAGTGACAGGACAAGCTGGAATATACATGACGCTAGAGTCGCCTTGCCCCTGATGCACTTTGTCGACTGCGTGAATACCATCGCTGTGCCAGGCAACATAGTCGCCCGGGGCAATTTGGGGGATGTGAACCATGGTCTGGTCGAGTCGCAAGTGTGGGTGCAAAACATCGGTCAGTTCTTGGGAATAACCGGGGGTAGCGCCCTCCAGCTTGCTTGATGTCTCCGTCTCGAGTCGCCAGTTGGTGGGATCTAGGTAGGTGTCTAGCGCAAGGCGGGAGCTGCCAGCTGGAGGCGAATATATGGGCTCAAAGAAGGGCCGCAGAAGGAAGTAGGAGGTGGCCATAGAAAGTAGGGGGTTCACCAACAGGGTCCCCTCTTTGGGGCCGGTGTGCGACATGCTCAGCCAGCCCTGAAACATGCGGAACATGGAACACGCACCAGCACCGTTGTAAAGGTCAGAGACAGCTGGAATACGGCAACTTGCCTCCCAAGGGTCATACTCTTCCCATCTACCTTCCCAGATCGCCTTGTAAACGTTTCCCAACCCATAGCCATTATCTTCCCAACGCTCAACACTACCTCCATCCACGTGAGGACCCAATGCAAATCCAGCATCTCCAGGCTGGCGAATACGCAGGCGATCAGCGTATGTAAGGGGATGTGATGGTGACACCAGAGCGTCAGAGTTCTTCGAATGCCAGAAACTCATGAGGAACCGCTGGGTTTCGAGCATGTTGGGGTGCATGCGAGCCTTCATCTGGGACTGTGACCAGTAAAGCTCAAACACCTGCGGATCGGTAGGTGGGAAAGCTGCACGGCATTATCAAAGATTGCCCGGGAGTGCGATGGCATGGAATGACTCACCTCTAGTCTGCGGGTTCGCACGCACATATTCCTCGATCTCCTCCTTATAGCGTCTAGCTTCGGCCTCGGGAATTACTCCTCGAACAACAGCGACACCACGTTTCCGGAGTTCTCTCCGAAAGTCCTCGGAAGCTGTTTTGATATTCTTGAAATCGATGGTAGGAACAACGTCCGATCCCATTCGTTTGATAGTCCGTACCTCCTCGCGGAGCCTATGGAGCAGGCGATCCCAGCTCTTCTTAACAGCTTCTTCACGGCCTGCGATAAGGCGTTTCTTTTGGTCGACAAACCTTGGGGGCAATACCTTCTCCTTCGCGCCGGACAGAGACACAAAGACGGAGGAGATGTCACCCTCTTTGCGCGGTGCTTGGGACGTTGTTGTTATTCCTCTACCGGATAATGAGACCGGGGCTTTCAGGGAACACCGCAGACCATGCGGACTTTGCCATGTGACTTTGACCATGGTGTTTTACTTGGATCAGACAAGAAATCAAAAGTTTGTTTAACTGAAAGCAAGAGTACGAAGTGACTATTTATATGACGCATTTTTTATTCCAGTCTTCTGAATTTCCATTATTTCCACGGCTTCTCCATGTCTAGAAACAACGCGAAACCAACGTCACGGCGGACCTGCCGGGAGCGGTACCATTTCCCTTTTGGGAGAAGTCCCGCCCGCTATCCACAAAGCCGGAAAAGTCGAATAGCCGGGGTTGTGTGCCGCGACAGCCTAGCCCTGGCACGCCTCTTCTTTCCTAATCCTGAAGTTGTGTCGTCGAATGCCACTGTATCGGTCGACCACCTGTCTCTCCGAACCTAGGTATAACAAGTCCTAGGGCGAGACCAATTAACGTATACATTACCTGTCGATGCGCTGACTGCTAGAACCAAGAGGATCTCTCACGTCTATCCAATCAGCAGACGGAGATATATATTTACCAACAACACATAGGACGTGGGTCAAACTAAGCCTTAATGCTATGCTATTGTGAGACCTCGGTCATCCCATACCTTATCACATGACTGTCATGCACAGGTCACGTGACCTCCTAGACCTAAGAGATTACTAATAATAATCTCTGAAAAAATAATTAACGTAATCAATGGTTGGATGGCCCACACGGTTGGGCAGCCCATCTGGTTATCCATATAAAATATATATACTGTATTATAATCAGATACTGTTCATATTTATGTAGATTTTTGAGGAGTATTAGATGGTTATTTGTATTATTTATAATTTCTAGTAGGGAAATCGTCACAACGGGACAACAGTCAAATGATGTCTGATAAGTTTCTAAATAGTATTATGTTACAGATCCCTGCTAGTTAAGCTACTAGTAAGGCGGACTCGTTAGACAGAAAGCACTGATAAGAAAGCGCTCGAGTAATCAGAAACTCTTATTAAGAAGAATTCTAGATTATTTTTATAATATTCAGAACAGCTATATATTACATGATTATAGATATATAGGATGGCATGGACAGGTATATAGTATATAATATATAGTATATAAAAAGATATATTACTTAATATACAGAGAATAAGATATATAAGAATATTTATTTATATACTTAATTAGTTCTGTTCTTCATGCTTAATCTATATTATTTTTAAGTAATCTATCTTTAGAAGCTTAGTAATATAATATTTATCTATACTTACTTATAAATAGTTATGTAGTACTATCTAGCTTTACTTTTTTTTTTATTTAAAATTAGTTATTTTAGATAGACTATCAGTCTGATACTATCTTAATCTAGTTTAATAATATATATATCAGTGAAGTGTCAAACCCTAGGATCGCTTCCCTGTTCCTGTTAGCTTAGCTTTCACTGGCATATGTACCATCGAACTGGATTGAGGTAGTATCAGACTAATAGTCTAT